CCATGGCAGCCATGCTTGCAATTGCACCATGGCTGTTTGTACTGCAGATTTGAACATTCCTCTAATATATTTTAGAATTTGTACTTTTGCATCTGCTGCTCGCTTCTGTTTTGTACTTCTTCGTCTGTGAAAACCTGTGTCTCTTTAGGTGCAGCAAAAGTTTCAGTGAATTTCAGTCTGAATGATTTGGAAAGATGGTAATACAGAATAGGGTCAAAACAGAGGTTTGATACAGCAAACAGCAGCGTAGATTCCTTAGCCTTAAAGAGAGCTTGTTTCAGAGAGCAGCTGGTATTGATACCACTTTGGCTCAAAGTATAGGGGATACGAACAATGTGGTATGGCACAAAACACAGCAGGTAGCCTGCAGTTACCAGCAGTATGTTGATGAGGGCTTTCCTCACGTTTGTGTAACTCTCACTGTGTTTGTTCCGGTAGAGTTGTCGAACAACAAGGAAATTAGAAATGAGTATTACAGCTGAAAAATTCAGGAATATCGCTGTGCATATGAAATTAGTAAACACGTGCCAGTCTCTTCCAAATTTTGTTTTGAAATCAATGCATCCTGCACCAGGTTGTTCTTCAATAGTTTTTATTGGAATAGCCATATTAGGTACTGTTATAAGGAGAACCATTATCCATACGACTGCAGACAACATCTTGGCAAATCCAGGCTCCTGAATTCGGTAGATCTTATAACTGTGCATTAGCTGAAGACAACGGTCCATGCTCACAAATCCCAGAAATATAATAGATAAATACATATTCAGGTAGATGAAACAGGCTGTAACTTGACAGTGGAATATTCTCAATTTCCAGGATGCAACTCCTAGGTCGACAATAATCTTTACTGGCAATGCCAAAGTTAACAAAAAATCTGCTGTTAAGAGGTTAATTAAGTAGATACTCATACACTTCTGTTTCTGATCTCTTTGTGTGAATGCCCATACTGCAAAACAGCTTCCAATAAATCCCATGAGAAAAATCAAGTAGTAAAAATAGGTAAAAGGTTCCATTTCTTCAACAATGTGGCATTGTGAAACATTGCTTGGCATTGTAAACTTCTTGTGCGAGTTGGTTTTGCTGCTAGAGAATCTCAAGAACCTACAAAGAGAACCAAGACAATGTAAATGACATCAACGTTTCCTGAGAGTCAGTAGTTACTCACTGGGAATTTTGTTTGATTAATTTAATGGAAAAAAATGCAACTGGGAAAAAATATGTTTCTCTCTCTTCATGCTGCTTCACAGATATTCAAAAGGGCTTTGTTCTCATGTTCAAAAAGTTTGGAAACATGTTAGTGTTTGTTTATGAAAGCATACAGACTACTAGAGTAGTCTTTCTGAGTGGGAGTTTAGTTCAACATGTTTGGTTCAACAGTGCCCTCCTCTCCTTCCCTCTCCCAACCAAAACACCAAAATAAAAGCTTAAATGTGTTTAAGTTTAAGCATCTGGTTAATAATGTTCATACTAAAACTTAAGAACTTTTGAACAATTAAAATTAGGCCTAAAAAAAGGACAAGCAGTCTTGTTCTATAAAAAAGTACTAGGAATTTTGAAGTTAATGCACTGTTCAAGCCAATTCATGGATATGTCAGATAGATAAGCAAACAGTTCTAATCAATCCTAAGTTTTACAAATTGCACTCTCTTCCTACTTGAACAGAGGATAAATTAATTGCTTAGTTTTATGAAGCCTTTAGAAAGAAACAGCCATTAAATAATTTTTCTCACTTCCTTTTTAGGCTTCACTAGAAATTATAGGGAAGAAAAGTAAAAAATTTTGGTCCTATTTTAATTAAATATACTACTCCATGACTGAGGGGTTTTCTTGTTTGTTTGCTATGGGCTGCTGCGTGGAATGTCTGTAGAAAAGGAGGCACGGCACATTGATTAGTTTCTTGGAATGAAAATCAGTGCATTTATGTCTTGAATAGCATCAGCCTGCAACAGTTCTTTATTTCATTATATTGTTCCTAATTTTAATATACAATATAAGAGAACTACATATGCACATTTATTTTCTGCTGTAAAATATGTATCCAGATGTGAAAGATTTGTAAACCAAAATGATTGCAGATACTCCAGTGCTGTAAAATGGAGGACTAAACAGTTAGTTTGTTTCTTGCAGATTGCTTTCCACAGGTTGTCTCTATTGTCCTGAAAACATGCAACAGAGTTGAATTAAGCCTGGGTCTGTGTCATGGAGGTGAGGAGCAGGCAGCACTGCTGGTGCTGCGGGGCTAGCTTCTGCTGCCCAAGGCAGTGGGAGCTTCCTGCATGGTGGCACGGTGCAGCCCTGCTCGTCCTTTGTGGGTGAAGAGGCAGCCCAGCAAACTGAGCTCTGAAAATCTGAGGGTAGAGTGGGACCACAGCCAAGTGACACTGACTACAGGCAAAGCATGGGCTGTCTTGATAAATACCTGAGCCTGACTTTCTGTGCAGTTCTCATAGTTAATATTTCAGGCTGTATATTTATGCAGATCTAGGTAGGCTGGAACAGACCAAGACTAAAAGCACATACCTGTCTTGGCAGTCTGTGGGGTCTTCTGAGCATTAGCCTGCAAAGGTCTGATGTCTCTTGGAGACTGCTCTTGCAGTCCAGTAGAGTGTTAATCTTTTCCTCTGGCTGTGTCTGGTGTTTTTAAAACGTGTCTGTGGTTTCTAAATGTGCTGATTGACGCAGTTAAAACCAGCATTCAAATAATGTGGAAGTTACCTAAAAGAGATGTGACAGAAAAATGTGAGTGTTCACGGAATGGACCAGAGAGACCGCTTTTCCTGTTTCTCAAGTGGGAGGCAGTGGTGGGGTGGGAGGCATGCTGAGGTCAGAGCCTGCTGCACACTCTACCTGTGTCCTGCAGCTGGGAGCTGCTCCTTGGGCATGTGGTGCTGTGCAGGACGGAGTGGGGAGTGATGGGGAGGAAGGTAGCTGTGAAAAGAGCTGGATTATGCATGGTGATGGGGCCAGTAGCGTGGATTGTTATGATTATTATGAGTCAAAGTATGTTTTTGTGGAGGGAAGGTAGTCAGTGTTGCTTGACCTGTCCACATTGGAGAGCTGGTGGGGATGGTTGGCTGATACTGAGCAGACCAGAAGGTAGTGCAGATTTCACTCCCTCCTCCTAACCTCAAGCCTGCAGGTTTAAGTTTTAAGTGTTTATCATGTGTTCACAGATGTAAGGGTGATGAGACATGGATGGTTTGTCAGCCCCAGCACATGGACTTTTTCATGTATTCCTAAAGCTTCATCAGGTTAGTCCTTGATTCTTGACCTGGAGCTGTGGATGTGTGACGTCACAGTGGTTGTTTCTTTGCTTTTATTTCTTATGAAATTCTGTTCCCCCAAATGTCTTAAATTTAAAATCTATCTGGAATCAGGATTTTGCAGTGAAGTCAGTCCTTATTCATTGTAATATTCCTGTATGAAATTCCAACTTTTGGAAATTTCATGAGTGTTTCTTCTAGGCTTGCGACCTAATTTGCAGCTTTAAAGGCACACAGGGATTCTACAGACAGCAGTTAAAATTCTAAACTGTGAGACATTTGCCAAGCACTGTTAAAAATAAAAACGACACATTATGGATACAGGAGAAATAATTATAATTAAGGTGCTTTCATTTATTTTTTTGTTAAACCAGGAGAAAATGCCTTAACATGAGGTTAGGGGCTGAGGTACCGACAGCAATACTGAAAACCCAGAGTGTTACCACTTGGTTGTAGCTGAGAATCCACAGGAATTTACAAACCATGTATCAGAGCTTTATGAGGAAACAAGTTAAGAATGTCTGGTTTTATGTTTAGTCAGAAGCTTAAAGTTCAGACCATATTTGTCAAATGTTTGCAAATCTTAATAATCTAGAATGATCCTGTGTTGGGTTTTGAGCAAACATGGACTGCTTTTTTTTGGTGTGATGCTCACCATGCAAAACTGATCTTACCATACTTGTGTTTTTCTTTCTTTTCATTTAAAAAAAACAAAACAAAACAAAAACAAAAACCAAAAAACCCCCTTGAAATGTAGCATCCGGTCAGTTTTTTCTGTGTGTGTCTTTCCTTTTCTGTAGAGTCAGTTTAAAGCTCAGAAAACTTTTCCAGGTCTAAAAAGACAAAGTGATGTTTAGGGAAACATTTACTGAAAAATGGTCTATGCTTCCTGCAGAAGTGTTCCGGCAGGAGAAGAAACATGAGACCATGAATCTACTGTGCTGTATTCAGGTTTTGTTGCGGTTCAGTGTCATCCTCTTCCCCAGTCTCTGTGGCTAACTTTTAAAAGGCCATTTAAGTTCATAAATTACAAATGCAGATGGTAGATTTTGCTGCAGTTAAGTTTGCTAAGCAGTACTTGTCATAATGCTATGGTTTTGATGGTTTAAATTTTGATTTTTTTTTTTTTTTATTTGAAATTTTCCAAGATGCCTGCCTGGTTTGGCTGACTCCTGGGATTGGGAGTGGTGCAAGGGAGGGAAGGGATGCAAATATGGGTGGGAATTTCACCAAAATGGTTAAATAATTTCTGAGTACAAAACTGGGAAAAAATAAACCGTAAGACATTCTCCCCCCTAAATCTGATGAGCCTTATGTTTTAAACTGTACACACCACACATTTGTGGGGGTGCCCCTTGTGTTGGGATAATTTCTGATACCTCTCCACATTTTGCATATTCATTTGGAGAAAGGTTTCACATCCAGAAAAAGTTTCAAGAGGTTTTCGGGAGCTCTGCTGTTATTAGACTTTGACCTTGTCTATCTTCCAAGCACCCTCCACTGCACTTGTGGTCGAGCCAAGTGCCCACTGCAGGATCAGAGTGGGGAGCAGTGCCCTCAGAAGGGGGAGCCCTGGACTCTGCTGTTGCAGAGGAGAGTGAGCTAGGACTCGCTCCTGAAGGAGCTGCTGGTGAGGTTACCCATGGAGGCTTCAGGGGAGCTGTGAGAACGGGGAGGGTGTGGGAGTGGCCAGTGTGGATGTACCTCAGGATCCTTGTGGGTTCTTCTTGCCTGGCGTTTGACTCTCAGAAGCTGTGAGATGGTATGTTGCACCATCATGTGTGGGGAGTGCTGGGACTGTGCAGTGCTATGCTGCCTAGGTATGTCTGCCCAGCTGGGCTCTGCTTGCTGTGGGTGAACACTGATGGTGGGACATCCTGGCATGTGTTTAGGGTATGCTAGTCCTCAGCTTGGCTGGTGTTTCCTCCAGGAGATGCCACCTTCTGTTTATTCCTTCCCTTCAGCAGTTTGCCTCAGAGTTTATTTACTTAAGGCTCCTCAGATAAAGATCCTGTGGGACTTATTTGGGATTAAAGTTAATTAAATATGCACTATAAGGGGTGATCTCCTCCCTTTAAATGAGGAAAATATGTACCAACCTGTTAATCCATCTTTTCAGAAGCTAATGTTTGAGTTTATATCAGTCATATCCCTGTGTCTTTTAATTCAGGAAGGTTGTCAAGTATAGAGTTTCATGATTCCTTTTTATAAGTTTTTTGAGCCTACTTTGCTGTGCAGTTACAAAACTAAGGCTTAATGGCACACTGCCTGCATGGACTTTCTCTGTCAGCATCGGGTGCAGTGGGAGAAACTGGGAGAAATTTCGCTCGCGCTTAGGTGGAGAAAGGGAACCGTAAGCTTCCCATGGCATGGGTCAGTGCTGAGGGAGCAGGAGAAGCATCCCTGCCCCTGCATGCTTCGTTCACCACTTGGCATCCTGGGAGCAGGATGGGGCCGCCTGTCGGAGGGCGTCGACCCCTGCAGCCCCTGGCGGGAGTGGAACGAGCACCCAGCAGAGCCCCGGCGGCGGTTCCCCCTCGCGGCCCGGGCACATCTCCAGAGGCTGTTCAGGAGTCAGCTGCGACGGCTGCACTGGAGGACGCTTGGGGGTGGATTACTTGCGGGAGGGATGTGTATAAGTGTGCTGTTAAAGGCACCGAACGTTTGAGATTTGATTTTGAGTTTGAGTTTAGATTTCTTTAGGGGTGGGGTGAGGTGTGCTTGTACAAGACAGGGTAGAGAGTCTGCAGTCTATGGGTGATAGAAAGCTGATGGGAAACCCTGGTTTT